CATCGAACCTGGGATAAACATTTAGAAAAGGAAAGCGTATAAGAGTCTGGTAAAACAAGGAAACGTCGTTGCATCCTGAAACACAACTCAATGTTGCAGAACTGCAAATATTGCTAATTTTCGCCACATGGCAAAACGATGCAGACAAGGATCTCATTCTGAGAAATGCAAAGGAAACAAAGAAATATGTCTCTGAGTTATATTTCAAAAACATACTTGCTTCCGAACTGACATGTTTCTTTCTGGTCAAACTGAAAAACATTACACTCAAACCAAGTGAAGCGTACCCCTTAAGATTGCATGAATGAATTGATTATTTGAATATTGTACCCGCTAGTCGTTTCAAGAATGCAACAATGAATTGATTATTTGAATATTGAACTCGCTAGTCATTTCAAAAATCAATATTAAATTGATTTTTTGAACATTAAACCCATTAGCCGTATTCTTAGAACGACTAGTGAGGTCTATTTTCCGATAATCGATTCATTATTGCATTCTTGAAACGCTAGCAGGTTCAATATTCAAATAAAAATTAATGCAGTCTTGAGGGGTACGCTTCACTTAGTTTGACTGTTTCCTAGGTTAGCCAGGATCTGTCTTACTAGTGTAACGAAGTAAAAGTTTCTGTCTTCGATGACACTACTTATCAGAATCTTCCTTTGTTTAGTGACGTTCCCGTTGCCGTTGCCGTCGTGGTTTAATACTTAAACTCCCTACTACCTCTTAGAGTAAGCTTCCTTGGTAAGATCTTAAAACACACATAAAATTATGTATTCAAAATCACCTGGATCTTTATTCAGGGTTGCCAGACTGGTCGAGAAAAGGTGGCCGCCAACATTGAGTTTCACCATTTCTGAGAAGTGAACATGCTCGAGCTTCTTTGCTGCCTCGTCGAGAGCTTCCATTTCCTTGCGAGCTCTGCTCGTCTCGCGGTTTAAAATGTCTAAGGCATTTTTGACGTGCTTGTTCACTTCCTCAAGAACCTGTTTGCTGTGGGAACTGATTTCTTTCTCCGAAGTACTCGTTGATGAAGACATGTTCTTTGGAACAAAGAGACTGCAAACTCAACTCTGCGATTCTCGGAATTTGCGATCTCGCCGAATTGCATTAATTTTTGGGTCGCGCCAGTCCAAAGCTCTGTCACGCAACGCCAGGGAGAGAGGTCCAGTGACAATTGTCTGTGCATGCTCCCATTAAACCAATCAGAGCAGATCAGAGCGCAGGCTGTCGATTTCATCCAACTGAAAACATATTTATGGCGAGTGAGGTTGGCAAAGTACCCT